GGGGGGTCAGGAACCCCAAAATCGGATTATGGGAGTTCTGGGACACTACAAATCAGGGGACCCCAAAATTTGGGGGTAGAGACCCCAAAATACAGTAAGGAGCCAAAAATTGGGGTTGGGGGGGGAGGGGGTCCAGGGACTCCAAAACTGGGAAAGGGGACCCCAAAATTTAGGGTGAAGATGCCAAACTGGGGCTTTAGTGGCTCAGGGACCCCAAAATTGGGGTCCAGGAGGACATGGGACCACAAAGTTGGGGTTTTGGGGGTGCTGGGACCCTAAAATTGGGGAAAGGGACCCCAAATTTGGGGCTGGGGTGTTCAAGGACCCCCAAATTTGGGGTTCAGAGGTTCTGGGACAATAAAAATTGGGGAATCCCAAAATTTAGGGATTCCTAAATTTTGGGATTCCCCAAAATTTAGGAATCCCTAAATTTTGGGGAAATCCCCAAATTTGGGGACCCCAAATTTGGTGTCTGGGGTGTTCAGGGAACCCAAAATTGGGGTTTGGGAGCATCAGGGACCCCAAACTTGGGGTTAGGGGAGGGTCAGGGACCGCAAAATTGGGGTTTTGAGTGGGCAAGGAATCCCAAATTTCTGGTGAGGACCCCAAAACTGGGACTTAGGGGCATCATGAGACCCCAGAAATGGTGCGGACCCCAAAATTAGGGGGTGGGGAGCCCCCAAAATGGAGGTTTGGAGGGTAGGAACCTTTGTGCGGGGGCCGCGTTTCCGGCCGGACTCACCGAGGCGCTGCGCCGTTTCCTGTGCGTCCGCAATGGCGTCCCCCAGGTCCCGCACCTCCTTCCGGAGCCGCTCCACGGCCGCGCGCAGCGCCCCCTGCTGGCCCGGCCGAGCCGGAGCGGCCTGCGCCAAAACGGGCCCAAAAGCGCCACAATTCAGCCAAAATTCAGCCAAAATTCACCCAAATGTACCTGGGAGTGTGCCCAGGGTTCTCACGATACCCAAAACTCTCAAAATATTGAGAAAATCCCACAAAAAACCCAAAATTCCACAAAAATGAGGATTAAAATTGGCCCAAATCTGACCAAATTCACCTCAAAATTCACCCCAATATCCCTGAGATTGTGCCCAGCGTCCTCACGATACCCAAAACTGCCCCAAAAAAAGAGAAAACCCCCAAAAATGAGGCTCAAAATTGACCCAAATCCACCCAAATTCACCCCAATATCCCTGAGATTGTGCCCTGGGTTCTCACAACACTCAAAGCTCACAAAAAAACCGAGAAAAATCCCACAAAAAATACCCCAAAATCCCGCAAAAATGAGGCACAAAATTGACCCCAAAATTCCCCGAAAAAAAATCACCAAAAACTCTCCAAAATTCCCCCCCAAAACTCCCCCCAAAAATCCCCACAAATTTTATAAAAACGAGGCTCAAAAAAATCCCAAAATTCCCCCAAAAATTCCCCCCCAAACCCCCAAGATTTTATAAAAATGAAGCTCAAAATGGACCCAAATCCACCCGAATTCAGCCCAAAATGCACCCAAAATTCACCCCAATATCCCTGAGATTGAGCCCAGGGTTCTCATGATACCCAAAACTCCCAAAGTTTGGGGAAATCCCACCAAAAAAACCAAAATGAGGCTCAAAATCGACCCCCAAATCCGTCCAAATTCACTCAAAATTCCCCTCAAAAATAATCCCAAAAATTCCCCCAAAAATCCCCAAAATTCCCCAAATTCCCCCCCAAAAACTCCCTGAAAAAATCTCCCAAAAATTGCCCCCCAAAAATTGCCCCCCAAAAATCCCCAAAATTTAATAAAAATAAGGCTCAAAATGGACCCAAATCTGCCCAAAATTCACCCCAAAATCCCCGAGATTGTGCCCCGAGTCCTCATGATACCCAAAACTTCCAAACTAACGGGAAAACCCCACAAAAGAACCCCCAAATTCCACACAAATGAGGATTAAAATGGCTCCAAATCCTCCAAAAAATCCCCAAAATTGCCCCCCCAAAAATCCTTCAAATTCCCCCCCAAAATTTCCACCAAAATCCCCCCCAAAAAATCCACAAAATTCCCCCAAAAACTCCCAAAAACCCCAAAATGCCACAAAAATGAGGCTCAAAATTGACCCTAAATCCTCCCAAATTCACCCCAAAATCCCCTCAAGTAGCCCTGAGATTGTCAAAGAATCCCAAAATCTTTTTCAAAATTCCCAAAAACCTGAAAACTCCCAAATACCCAAAAATCCCCAAAAATTCAAAAAAAATTCCCCAAAAAATTCCCGAAAACATCCACAAAATTCCCCTAAAAATCCCAAAAAAACCCCCAAAATTCTTCCCAAAAATCACCCCAAAATTCTCCCCAAAAATTCCCAATACCCCTCAAAATCCCACAAAAATGAGGCTCAAAATGGACCCCAAATCCGCCTGAATTCCCCCCAAAATTCACCCAGATATCCCTGAGATTGTCAAAAAATCCCAAAAACTCCCCAAAGTCATTTCCAAAATTCCCCAAAACCCCTGAAAAATCCAAAAGTCCCACAAAAAAATCCTCAAAATTCCCCAAAAAATCACTTTTAAATGCCCCAAACCCCCCAAATCCCTCCCAAAATTCCACCAAACCCAAAAACATTCTCCAAAAATTTTGCATTTCGCCCACAAAAAAAATCTCATTTCAAGCTCCAGAACTCCCCTGGACCCCCCCAAAATTCCCTCAAATCCCCTCCAAAAATCAAAAAAGATCCCCCAAAATCCAAAAAAATCCCTTAAAATTCCTGAAAATTCCCCAAAAATCCAAAATTTCCCCAAAATGTCCCCAAATCTGAGGGAACCTCCCCAAATTTTGGGTTCCCCACCCCAAATCTGACCCCAATTCCCCTCAGGTTTTGGGTCACCCTCACCTCCAGCTCCTGCAGGTGCCCGTACCTGAGCCCCGAGTTAAGGAACAATTTGGGGATCCCCCAAAAATCTCCCCTTCAATTTAAGGTTGAACCCCCAAATTTGGGAACCCCCACCCCAGATTTTGGGGTTTCCAGAATTTTCTATCCGAGGAACCCCCAAATTTTTGAGGATCCCCCAAAATTTCGGATACAAGCGCAGATTTCCTCGGATCTTCTTCACGTTCCTGTGGGGACACCCCAAAAATTCTGTGAGGGGAGAACCGGGAAAAAGAGCGGGAAAAGCGGCGCGAGGCATGATGGAAGATGTAGTTCAGGGGGGTGGGGCCTGCAATGATGCTCTATGGGCGGCGCGGGGCGTGATGGGACCTGTTTGCCGGCTATAATGAAAATCAATGGGGCGTGGGGCATGATGGGAGTTGTAGGTTTGGCTATAATTGAACTCAGTGGGGCGCGGGGGATGATGGGAGCTGTAGGCTTGGCTATAATGGAACTCAGTGGGGCGCGGGGGATGATGGGAGCTGTAGGCTTGGCTATAATGGAACTCAGTGGGGCGCGGGGGATGATGGGAGCTGTAGGCCCGGAAAGCATCTCCCCCTCCTTCCCCTTAAATTTTGGGGCCCCCTTTCAATTTTTGGGGCTTTTCACTCTCCCCAATGTTGGGGTCCCCCCTCACCGCTGGTTCCGGACGTGGCGGATGACGTAATCCCAAATGGGGGCTGCGGGGCCGGAGCAGAGCCTGCAGGGGAGGGAATTGGGGCACCCCAACATTTGGGGGTGACCATAAAATTCACCCAGGAACCCGAAAATCACCCCCAGGAACCCCCAAATCCACTCAGGATGCCCTAAAAGGGACCCCAAAAGGACCCCTCAGGACCCCCAAAGGGACCCCAAAATCCCCACAGGACCCCCCGAAACCTCCCAAGGGACCCTTCAAGGGGACCCCAAATTCTCCAGGACCTCCTAAAGGACCCCAAAAGCATCCCCAGGACCCTCCAAAGGGACCCCAAAACCCCCCAGAACTCTCCAAAAGATCCCAAAATCTCCTCAGGACCTCCCCAAACCTCCCCATTACCCTCCAAGGGGACACCAAAATACCCCCAGGACCCCCCAAAACTTCTCAGGACCCTCCAAAGAGACCGCAAAACCACCTCAGGACCCCCAAACCCACCCAGGGCCCTCTAAAGGGACCCCAAAATCCCCTCAGGACTCTCAGGAGGACCCCAAAATCCCCCAAGGACCCCTCAAAAGGACCCCAAAACTCACACAGGACCACCCAAAAGGACCCCAAAATCCCCCCAGCACCCCTAAACCCCCTCAGGACCCTCCAAGAGGACGCAAAATTCACTCAGGACCCCTAAAACCCCCTCAGGACCCTCCAAGGGGACCCCAAAACGCCCCAGAATGTTTCATAGGGACCCCAAAATCCCTTCAGGACCCCCAAAATTCCTCCAGGACCCTCCAAGGGGACTCCCAAACCCTTCCACGACCTTCTAAAGGAACTCCAAAACCTCCCCAGTACTCTCCAAAGGGACCCCGAAACCTCCCAGTACTCTCCAGAGGGAGCCCAAAACCTCCCAGTACTCTCCAGAGGGAGCCCAAAATCCCCCCAGGACCCCCCAAAACCTCTCAGGACCCTCCAAGGGGACCCCAAACCTCCTCAGCCCCCCCCCACATTCCCGCTCTCCCCTCACGGAGCCCTCGGGGGGTTCCCACCCCCGGCAGCCCGAAACCCCCCGGCCCCTCCCCGCCTCAGGGGGGTCCCCATGGGGGTCCCCGGCTGGTCCCGACCTGCGGAGCGCGGCCGGGGAGGGGATGGCGGAGGGCGGCAGCTCCATCTCCTCCCGGAGCCACCGCTCCAGCGCCTCCGCCATCATGGCCGGGGGGCGCTGAGGAGAGCGAAAAACCGCGGGAAAAGCGCCGCGGGGCAGCAGGGGAGTTGTAGTGCGGGAGGGGCGGGGCATGCAATGATGGGCTATGCGAGGCGCGAGGCATGACGGGAGTTGTAGGCGAGTAACTGGGGCGCTGTGGTGCGCGAGGCATGACGGGAGTTGTAGGCGTGGCTTTAATGATTCTCTATGGGGCGCGGGGCCTGATGGGAGTTGTATGCACACCTGTAATGGGGCTCTATGGGTTATAATGATTCTCTATGGGACTCTATGGGTTATAATGATTCTCTATGGGGCGCGGGGGCTGAGGGGAGTTGTATGCGTGTTTGTAATGGAACTCAATAGGCGTCGCGGGGCATGATGGGAGCTGTAAGCCAGGAAGTTTGTCGATGGGGAAACTTGGGGGTCTGGGGGCACTTGGGGGTCCTAAGGGCCACTTATGGGTCAGAGGAGCCATTTAAGGGACACTTAAAAGGCACCCGAGGGGAACTTTGGGTCTGAGGGCACTCAGGGCCACCTGGTGAGCTGGATCCTGGCTTTACCTGGCCTCTGTGGGGTGCGGGGGATGATGGGAGTTGTAGGCTCTGGGCAGCATGGGAATTGTAGGCGTAGACTGAGGGTCTGTGGGGAGGGGGGAGGTTTAGGTGGGGCACCTGGGAGTCCGTGAGGGCACTCGGAGGTCCTGAGTGGGGGCTGAGAGATCACTTAGGAATCCTGGGAGGCACTTGGGGGTCCGGGGGAGCAACTGAGGAGCAACTTTGGGTTTGGGGGGAAATTTGGGGGCGTGTACCGGGCACTCTGTGTGGCTGCGTGGCATGACGGGAGGTGTAGGCCGGGCTTCCTTTAGACTCTATGGGGCCGCGGAGCATGAAGGGAATTGTAAGCCAGCCATCAATACTTACGTGTAGTGCCGCAGGGCATGACGGGAGTCGTTGGCCCCGTTTCAATGGCGCTCTAAGAGGCCGCGAGGCATGCTGGGACCTGGAGTCCAGCGTTTAATAGCTCAGTTTTCTGCCGCAAGGCATGACGGGAATTGTAGTCGAAAAAAGCCAAAATGGCGCAGCCTTTACATACCGCCTTCAAGGCCGCTGATTGGTTGCAAGCTATGATTGACAGGCAGGTCGACCAGTGGGAGGTGGCGCCGACGGAAGGCGGGGAGCGGCAGCTCCTGAGGGCGGCGGTGAGAGGGGGGCGCGGATTTTGGGGGGATTTGAGGCGATTTTGGGGCATTTTGGGGGATTTTTGGGATCCCTCACGAGCCTCTCACCCCTGCCAGGCCCCAGGGACGCGTCCGGAGCCGTGATGGCCGCCAAGGTGAAGGTGGAGAAACCAGGTGAGCTCGGCCGGGAGCCCCAAAAACCCCAAAAACCGCCCAAAAAACCCCAAAATTCCACAAAAATCCCACTCGGGACCCCCCAAAACCCCTCAAATTCCCTCAGAAAGCGCCGAAATGCCAAAAGATTTCCCGAATATATCCCAAAACAACACAAATCCTCCCCAAAATTTCCAAAATATTCCCAGAATTCCCCAAATTCCTCCCAGATTCGTCCAGAACCCCCAAATGCCCCACAATTCTCAAAATTTTCTCCCAAATTTCTTAAAAATTCCTCACAGGACCCTGAAAATTCACCAAATTCCCAGAGCTGGACCCAAAAATGCCCAAAAATTCCCCAAAATTCCGAATTTTTTCCAGTGCTGAACACCAAAATTCCTTAAAATTCCCCCAAAATCCCAATTAAAACCCAAAATACCCTCAAAATTCTCATTTGAATCCCCCAAAACCCCAACGAAACCCCAAAAATTCCATTTAAACCCCAAAAATCCTTTTAAGACCCCAAAATTGCCCCAAAAATTCCCCATATCCCCTCAAAATTCCCATTTCAATCCCTCAACCTTCATTTTAAACCCTAAAATTTCTTCTTTAAACCCCCAAATCCCCTCCAGGATCCCCCAAATTTAAAAGAATCCCTCAAAAATCCCAAATTTCCATGAACTTGTCCCCCAAATTCCCCTCATATTCCAAAAAATCCCCAAAATTCTCCCAAAAATTCTCTAAAAATTGCCCAAATGCCCTCCAGAATCCCCCAAGTTTAAAAATAATTCTCAAAAATCCTCAAAATTTCTGAATTTCCCAGAACTGGACCCCCAAATTCTTCCCAAATTCCCAAAAGTTCTCCCCAAAATTCTCAGTTATTCCCCAGATTTCCCCAAAACTGCCCCAAATCCATTCCAGGACCCCCAAATTGCCAAAAATTCCCCCAAAATTCCAAAAGTCTCCAGTATTCCCAGAGCTGGACACCCCAAAGCCCCAAGACTCCACAAAATCCCCCAAAACTCCCCCCAAACGCCTTCCAATATTCCTAAAACTTCCCCAAAAAATCCCAAATTTCCACCAATTTCCCTAAGATTCCCCCAAAAATGCCCAATTTCCCATTTCAGTCCCTCAGAATTCCCATTTTAACCCCAAAATTCCCCCAAATCCCCTCCAGGACCCCCAAGTATCCCCCTAAATTCCCTAAAATCTCTTCCACCATTCCCAAAACATCAAACAAAATCCCCAAAATTTTCCCATTTCAACCCCAAAAAATCTCCCAGAAACCCCAAAATTCCCAAAAAGTCCCAAAAATTCCCCCAAGTTCCCATTTCAACCCCCATAAATCCCCAAAATTCCCAGAGCTGGAGCCCAAATTCCCAAAAATTCCCCCAAAACTCCCCCAAATTCCTTTCCTCATTCCCAAAAATCCTGCAAAATTCCCAAAAATCACCCGAACTCCCCCCAAATTTCTTCAAAAAATCCCCCAAATCCCTTCCAACATTCCCAAAACATCCCCAAAATTCCCATTTCAATCCCAAAATCCCCCTAAAAATTCCCAGAATCCTCCCAAATTCCCCCAAAATTTTTCAAATCTCCCCAAATTCCCCCAATGTACCCAAAAAATCCCCCAAATTCCCCCAAAAATTTCCATTTCAACCCCCAAAAATTCCCATTTCAACTCCCAACCCCTCCATTCCCCCAAAATTCCCAAAAATTCCCCTCAAAACCCCCAAACCCCCTCAGCATTTCCCCAAATCCCCCCCAAGTCCCACAAAATTCCCAAAAATTCCCATTGCAACCCCAAAAATGCCCCAAAAGTTCCTAAAATTTCACAGAATTTTCCCAAAACTCTTCAAACTTTCCACAAATCTCCCTGAAATGCCTTCCAATATTTAAAAGAATCCCCAAAATTCCCCAAGAAATCCCAAAATTTCCTCAAAAATCCCCATGTTCCCTGAGCTGGGGCCGTTTGGAGGCCCCAAAATCCCCCAAACTGCACCAAAATTCCTTCCAAAATGTCAAGAAAACCCCACAAAACTTCCCCAAAGTCCTTTAAGAATTGCAATTTAAACCCCAAAAGTTCCCATTTCAACACCATAAAACCCCCTTAAAATCCCAAAACCTCCCCTAAAACTTCCCCAAATCCAAAAAATCCCCGAATTTCCGCAAATTTCCTAAAAAAACTTTAAATTTCCCAGAGCTCTGCCCTGGAGCTGCTCAGCACCACCTGGAGCCCCCAAATCTCCTCAAAATTCCTCAAAATTCCCAGAAAATCCCAAAATCCCTAAAAAATGTCTTCCAAAATCCAAAAAAAATCCCAAAACATCCCAAATTTTCCCCCCAAATATCCCTATTCATGCCACAAAATTTTCAAAAACTCCCCCAAATTTCCCCCAAAAATCCCATTTCAAACCCCAAAACTCCCCCTAAAAATCACCCAAACCCCGAAAGTGCCCCAAAACTGTCCAAAATCTCAAACAAAATTCCCAAAAATCCCCAAAAATGCCAGAAATTCCCCAAATTTTCCCTAGTTTCCCCAATTTCCTAGAGCTGTCCACCGGTGCTGCCCGGCGCCGCCTGGAGCCCCCAAATGTCCTAAAAATTCCCCCAATTTTCCCAAAATCCCCCAAATGCCCCCAAAATCCCCCCAAAATTTCTTCCAAAAATCCCCCAATTCCTTCCAACATTCCCCAAAATTCCCATTTCAAACCCCAAAATCCCCAAAAATTCTGTGGAGAGTCAGGGCTGTGTGTGTGCGGCAGGAATGGGGCTGTACGGTCAGTCAGGGCTGTGTACAGCAGGAATGGGGCTGTACGGTCAGTCAGGGCTGTGTGTGCGGCAGGAATGGAGCTGTACGGTCAGTCAGGGCTGTGTACAGCAGGAATGGGGCTGTACGGTCAGTCAGGGCTGTGTGTGCAGCAGGAATGGGGCTGTACGGTCAGTCAGGGCTGTGTGTGCGGCAGGAATGGGGCTGTACGGTCAGTCAGGGCTGTGTGTGCGGCAGGAATGGGGCTGTACGGTCAGTCAGGGATCTGTGTGTGTGTGTGGCAGGAATGGGGCTGTACGGTCAGTCAGGGATCTGTGTGTGCAGGAGGAATGGGGCTGTACGGTCAGTCAGGGCTGTGTGTGTGCAGCAGGAATGGGGCTGTACGGTCAGTCAGGGCTGTGTGTGCGGCAGGAATGGGGCTGTACGGTCAGTCAGGGCTGTGTGTGCAGCAGGAATGGGGCTGTACGGTCAGTCAGGGCTGTGTGTGCAGCAGGAATGGGGCTGTACGGTCAGTCAGGGATCTGTGTGTGTGTGTGGCAGGAATGGGGCTGTACGGTCAGTCAGGGATCTGTGTGTGCAGGAGGAATGGGGCTGTACGGTCAGTCAGGGCTGTGTGTGTGCAGCAGGAATGGGGCTGTACGGTCAGTCAGGGCTGTGTGTGCAGCAGGAATGGGGCTGTACGGTCAGTCAGGGCTGTGTGTGCAGCAGGAATGGGGCTGTACGGTCAGTCAGGGCTGTGCGGCAGGAATGGGGCTGTACGGTCAGTCAGGGCTGTGTGTGTGTTACAGGAATGGGGCTGTACGGTCAGTCAGGGCTGTGTGTGTGCAGCAGGAATGGGGCTGTACAGTCAGTCAGGGCTGTGTGTGCGGCAGGAATGGGGCTGTACGGTCAGTCAGGGCTGTGTACAGCAGGA